GATGCTCATGATCCCTGGGAACTAATCGACCTAGGAGGGCAAGGAGCAAAAAGTGTCCTTTGAATCCCTCTGACCCAATTAGTATAGATCTCAAAGTATGTCTGTTAAACATCCAAGAAGGTTAGTTCCACCATACTTTTAGAATATCTAGAAACATGAAAAAAAAATTAGTGGCTTTTTAGTATCCAAAGAAAAAGAAGATATTACTAGTAAATATAAAATTTTACTTTTCTTGTGATTTTAAAAAAGAATTTTATCTGTTTGTATGTATGTAGATTTATTCCAAAGTGGTTTGAAAGGAGTAAAAAGATCATGTTACTTTTAATCCACCAGCTCCAATGTCTGTAAATTTAAGTTATGACGTAAGAGACAGTTAATTATCATGTTGTCATCTGTGAAGTTGTCTCCTGTATGTGGGGTGATTTTTATCATTTTCAGGAGAAATAATGGAACCAACACTGGATTGTATTTAGATCCTTTCCATGTCCTCACTCCCTGCCCAATTGCATGTACATATATATGCATATGTATATGCCTCTAGTCTAATTTGTGTCCCTAAATGTCCTTTGGTGTGGGTCCACTTGGGGGCTGATTAGCTTACCAAGAGTTACACCCTTAAGAGAGACTGACTTCCCCTTCCCAGCAGCCATCAGTCCTTCAGATAGGGTTGTGGTTTCTTAACCCACTTCCCCATGTCTGTGCTGGGATTTTTGTTTGGCTTGAGTTTACATGGTACTTGTGCATGCTGTTCCCATTGCTTTGAGTTTATATTAATAACTGACCAGCTGTCTGGAAAACTGTTTCCTTGTGTCCTTCCATCACCTCTCGCTCTTACAATCTTTCCGCCCCCTCTACTACAATGATCTGAGCCACTGTAGGCAGAAGTTTGATATATGTGTTCGAATCAGAGATAATCACTGTGCCGTCTCTTATTCTCTTCACGCTGTCCAGTTGTGATTCTCTGTGTTAATCGCTATCTGCTGCATAAGGAAGCTTCTGTGGTAAGAGCTGAGTTATATATTAATCTACGGGTATACAATAATCATTAGGAGTTGCTTTAACAGTATCTATTTAGCACAATAATAGAATTGAGCAGGAAATGGTGTCTCACGCCTCTAATTCCAGCACTTGGGAGGCAGAAGCAGGTGGATCTCTGTGAGATCAAGGCTGGCCTGGTCTCCATAGTGAGTACCAGGCCAGCTGTGGCTACAAGGAGACCCTGTCTCAAAAAGACAAAAAAAAAAAAAAAAAAAATGGAATTGGACTCTTCCCTGTGGTCTATGTTCTGTCTAGCCACAGGTTCCTATGTCAGGTATTGGCGTCATCTTATGAAGTGGACCTTAAATCCAATTAGAAAGTGATTGGTTACTCCCATAGTACCCATGTCACTACTTTACTGAAGTTGTATCTTGCTAGGCAAGTTTTTTAGTAAAGTATGCAATATTCACAACTGGGTAAGGTTAATGATTAATATTCTTTCCTGGTAACATGTTTAGCACCTTCCAGCACTATGAAAGCTATCCATTAGAGATGGGGCTTTGGAGTCAGTACCAGCTTGATTTCTCCTTGCTTTTTCTATGGCTCATTTATGTGGTACCTTCAGCAATAAGGTCTTATTGTCAAGTTCTCATGGGTAACCAAGAGCAGGGGCAATGATCAGTATTATTTGAGGGTCTATGGGACTCCTGGTCAATAGTTCAAAAGAGGGAGTCCATTCCTGGCATTGGGCTTTTTCTTTGTATCTAGGAGGGGCAATGTCTCCCTGTTCTAAGGTAACTCCTTTTAATCTTCTTTTATAATCTGTATGTGTATACTTTAAGAAGTTTCTATAGTGGTAAGTTTCCATGTGGCTTTTCCCAAGGCTTCTTGTGTTAATTGTTCCTCCCCATATTCCCTCCTCTGCCCTGCCCTCCCATTCCCCACCCAAATTAACCCTATTTTCCCCCTTTCCCCCTTTTTATCACTGTGAAATAGGTTTCAAAAGAAATTGTGGAATGCCCATCTAGCTACTCTTCTACCCCCACTTTTGATATTTTGTGTGTATGTGTATTATGTGTGTATACTGTGTGTGTGAGTGTGTGTAAGTGTGTGTGCGAGCGCGAGCCTGTGTGTGAGTGTGTGTGCTTCTTGTGTTAATTGTTCCTCCCCATATTCCCTCCTCTGCCCTGCCCTCCCATTCCCCACCCAAATTAACCCTATTTTCCCCCTTTCCCCCTTTTTATCACTGTGAAATAGGTTTCAAAAGAAATTGTGGAATGCCCATCTAGCTACTCTTCTACCCCCACTTTTGATATTTTGTGTGTATGTGTATTATGTGTGTATACTGTGTGTGTGTGTGTGTGTGTGTGTGTACGTACACAGGCCATGGTACACATGATGAGATCAGATGACACCTTGGGTATCAGTCCTCACCTTCTACCTTGTTTGAGATGAAGTCTCTTGCTCTCTGCTGTGTATACCAGGCCACCTGGTCCAGCTTCCAAGGAGTCTCCTTTCTCTGCCTTCTATCCCATTGTAGGAATGCTGGGATTTTTTTTTTAAGGAAGCAGCAGGAGTGTTTATTTCCTCCTGGAGGTCTGGCAGGCTGGGGAAACAGAGGGTAGGCAAAGGCACTAGGGTGTGTTGGCCTGCCACAGCCTGGAGTTTATTTGGCTGCCTGGGTGGTAACAGTGAATAAGTGTATGCCAGGGTATGCAGGGACAGGAGTGATCCTCTCAGAACTGAGACAGGGCCCTTGGGACATGGAAGCAACTCAGTGCTAGGTTTGGGCACAGGTACAGGAAACTGGGTAATAGAGAGGGTGTGGGATGGGTGTGATGGGATGAGGTGACCTTTGGGCGGAGCACACTAGTGTATTTTAGAGCTAGGGGTAGCTCAAGGTATGGCAAGCTGGGGCATGTTGGGTCCTGGCTGCTTACTGGGAAGCTGGTGCGAGGGCTGGGAAAAGAAAGACTTATGGGGAGAAGATGTAACCATAAAAACACATGCTACTTTTTTGTGGGTTCTAGGGATTTGAACTCAGGGATTATGCATGAACAAAGAGTGTTTTACCCTCTGAATCACCTCCCTGGGCCTTCTAGGTTCCCTTTGCTCTTTTATCACTCTTAGAGCTTAGGAACCACAAATTTAGTCTGAGGCAAAATTATTAAATCTATTCGAATATTTATTTTCTAAAGATCCTTGATTATAATCCTATCATTTATTTCCTTGATATATTTAAATTTTAGAAGTTGATATTTAAGATATTTACCTAAACAGGGCACTTTTAGATTTTATTTATTTAAAAAAAATTTTATTTTATGTATATGTGTGTTTTGCCTGCATGTGTATGTAAGTGCACCCATGTCGTGCAATACTCATGGAGGCCAGAAGAGGGCAAGGATTGCCTGGAACTGGAGTTATAGATGGTTCTTAGATGCCATGTGGGTGCTGAGAATCAAACCTGGGTCCTCTGCAAGGAAGCCAGTGCTCTTAACTGCTGAGCCATCTCTCTAGATCCAGATTTTATTTTTTTGTTTTGTTTGAATGTTTTGCTTGCATCCATGTATGTGTACCACATGAATGCCTAGTGCCAACAGAGGCCAGAAGAGGGCATAGGATCCCTGTGAACTGGAGTTACAGATAATTGTGAGCCACCAAGTAAGTTCTGGGAACAGAACCTGGGTCCTCTGCAAGAGCAACAAGTATTCTTAACCACTGAGCCATCGTCTCTCCAGCCCCTCAAGCAGAGTATTTCTGCAAACTTGATTAGGGAGCCCATTTCTGATTAATGTCCTATTTTCCATTTATTTTCTACATTATATAGTGAATTTTCTACTTAAAGGAATACCTTGGTAGAAGGAAGTTACACCTGTTGGTGGTGGAATAGATTAGTACAGCTATGCCTTCAAGTTACTAGCATTTGTAGAATATTAATAAATTATTAGCTTAATATAGACTTTCCTTTATCATAGGGAAGTCTTTATCATAGCCCCTCAAACTTAGTTCTTCTGAATATGCAAGACATTTTGTTAACTCGAAATTTGACTGTTTCTTTAGTTGGGCAGGGCTAATGTCTAATAGAGTTTAGTTGCAGTGTTTCACGTTGGCAGTAGATGGTGCTTTACAACAATGTTAAACTATAGAATAGTATTAACGTATTACCGTATGCTATCCTGTATTGCAATAAATTACATTGTGGTCCTTATTGAAAGTTATTTTATTTAGGAATTCAAATATTAAAATATTACTCTACAGATCAACATGGAAAATTGTAAATTTAACATAATATTTTGTTACCATTAGGCATAGTTAAATAGTAATACCTGTCATTTTAAATCTGACTGGTCTATTAAGCTTTCTTAGATGTTTACAAGATAGCTTTGGCCTTAATTTTCCACTCTAAATAAGATAGTTAATAAAAATTGCTTTCAGTGTCATTTGTACATTTAGGAATATTAATTCAACCTTGAAGAATGTCTCATTTTAAAAGTTATGAGAGCCAGGCATAGCAAGTTCTAGGCCAGCTAGAGCTAACACAGTGAGATCCTGTCTTAAAAACAAATAAACAATAGCAAAATAAAACAAAACAAAGCAAAATCCAAAAACTCTAAGAGTTAAGAAGTGAATAAATGTTTTGCAGTTTTTAATTTAATGCTTATTTTATCTGTGGGTTGATTTTTTTTTAATCCATAGGTTGACAGTACAATTTTAATGTTGCAAGTGAAAAAGGTTTTCATTTATATATGGCTTAGAAGATTTGCCCCTTTAAATATCTTGTCTTCACTATAAAATTATATATTATATATTCTTACTATTTATACATGTATTTTTATTATTTATACAACTGCTCTTGTACCCTTTATATAGACATTGTGTATCATGACCTCACTTCTTAATAGCAGTTTTCAGCAAAGCCAGCACAGACTTTGGACTGGTGAGAGGTTGCTTTTGCCATGTCTTGTGCCAGATGTGGGCCACTTGTATTCCTAGCCCTCGTACAGGTGGCTGCACAGGCTCCACACTGCGGTCTTACTTGGAGCCCTGAACTTGATGCCTGTGACCAGAATTAAGTACTGTTTCATCTGCACAGAGACAGAAGTCAGACTCCAGGGAAATGGTGTTCTTTGGGGGCTCACTAAAGAGTGAAAGAGTTAGAGAAGTGTTTTCAACCCTAGACTGGCCATGACAGAGAACAGGGCCCGTTTGCAGACCTTGGACCTGTTAGCCTTGCTCTTTCCCCGTCCCTAACCTTGTTCTCACCCTTCTTCCCTGTCCATTTGGACCAAGGGGACACCTCATGCTTCAGTCATGATGCAGGCACCATCAGGGGTTAATCGTTCTCCTGCAGTTTCCTGATTTTCAGGAACAGACACAGTCTTGGCTTCTTGAAGAAGGCTTTTGCTTGTCAAGGGTCAAGTACTGTGAAGAGCTTTACCAAAATCACCTTATTTTCTTTCTTTACTTTTAATTAAATGTTTGAGAATTTCATACTTCAGCATTGTCTTTACATTATTTCCATCCCTCCCAGTCCCCCACCAAATCCTCCTGTGTCCCCCTACTCCCTCTCAATTTCTTGTCTTGATTATTATTGTTACATATGTGGACATTTATAAATATACATATCTGTATACATAAATGCACTGAGTCCATTAAATGGTGTTTGTGTGTATCTGTGTTTAGGGTTGTCCGTTTGGGATTAGATCACCCCTCTGAGACTAGTCCCTGGAGCAAAACTTCTTTTGAAACAAATAGTATGATGCTCTTGTTCAGTGAGTGGTTGACAACATTTCTCATGTGAGGCTTCATGCAATGTCCCTTTTATAACTGAGTGAGTACATTATTTAATAAACTGGGTCTCTACTTTTTACACCAGTTATCCAGTTTCCTTTTTTAAAATCTGAAAGGGAAAACACTAATGTGATACCCAGTTGGAGAATTTACATTATGTAGTATGTTAAAGTTGTGTTCTGATTATATGTATTATATGTATTTTTAAAGTACATTTTATTCATCTATATTTAAGGTATGTAACATATGACAGACACATATGTAGTTAAATAGCTACTATAGTGAAACCATCTCACATATTTACCCATCCTTCACTCTGCGTCAAAAGCAACTGTAACCTACTCATAACCAGGACACTCCTCAGTACAGTACACCTTCATTGGTTGCATCTCTCATGTTTTAAGTTAGCTCTTTAGACTTGTTAATCTTATGGCTTGGCCACTTTGTGTGTTTTGATGTACATCTCCCCATCATTTTGCAGTATGGACTTCAGCAAGATCTAAGTGCTTTCAGGTTCAGCTTTTGTTATCTTTTCACTGCAGTTAATATTTTTCTCTGTATTGTTAAGTTTAAAATATAGTTGACTATTACAAAAGAAATATTATCTGGAAGTTACATATTTTCCAATCTAAATTTATGCATAAGAAAATAGTCACTATATTAGGTGTAAATGGAGGTTTGCAGTTTATAGACTTAATACATGCAAATCAGGTGGCCTAGATTGCATATTTTAGTGTGATTATTTGTCGATAATGATGTCTTTGCTAGGTAATGTATTCATTGTATTTTCACTGTATATGAAATAGTATGAGCAAATTGAGGCTGGATTATACCATGTAGCATGTAGTAGCCCACAGTAGCGACTGCCCACATGTTTATACTTCTGCTTGGGCTCTGTGTAATTCATCACACTTTTAACAATTGATTTAACTGTGAATTTAATCTTTATCAGATTCATGAGATATTTGACTGTCAAGAATGTATGAAGAAATTTATTTCAGCTAATCAGCTAAAACGTCATATGATCACCCACTCAGGTAAATTATATACTTTTTCACATATATCGAAATAATTGTGAAAGAATTATGATCTCTTTTTCAGGAAACAAAAGGAGTAATCAGAATCCCTGGCTGTAAGTCGTATGATTTTGGACAAATTCTTAATTCTGTAGACTTCAGTTTGCTTCTAAAGCAAAGGAGGTTTGCCGTCAAGATATACAAGGTGTTCAAAATCACATTTATTAATTTGTGACCTTGGTTTCTATAAATGGCACCATGGTGCCTACCTTTCAAAAGAGCTGCATAGGTTAAATGAGATCATTAAATACTGAGCTGGCACAGTGTCTGGGATTCAGTAGAAATTCAGCAATCTTAGTTTTTATGTTTCCAGATGCTTTACCATTCTAACTTATAAAAGGATAAACTTATTAAAGAAAAAAGATACTGCCTTGAAAAAAATTTCTTAAGGCTAGCCGTAAGTACATTTAAATAAGTTTGAGTAATAGGCTTGTTTTACGTATAAAGACATTAATATGGTTGTAATTTGAGGACATTGAAGTAAATGTTTTTGAACTTTCATGTTGTTGAGAGGTAGATATAAGTGTTTTAGTAACTTCAAGCTAGTGATCCAAACCTGTTAGCTTTCAGGTATGCTTTGTATAGTACTTTTTAAGTTTAGTTGTTTATATTACATGGTTATACATGAGTATGGATGTTACGTACCTGTCAAAACATTTGATTCCTGCTAACTGGAAGGCCTTCCTATAAGGGACCTCCCTAGCTAGCAGGAGGTAGCTCTGACTATAAAGAGCCTGCCTGGCTAGCAGGACATGGCCCTGCCTACATGGGGCCTCCCTAGCCATAGGAAATGACTGCCTACATGGGGCCTGCCTGGCCATAGGAAATGACTGCCTACTCGGGGCCTGCCCGGCCATAGGAAATGACTCCCTACATGAGGCCTGCTTGGCCATAGGAAGGGGCTCTGTCTACATGGGGCCTGCCTGGTCATAGGAAATGACTGCCTACATAGGGCCTGCCTGGCCATAGGAAATGTCTCTGCCTACATGGGGCCTGCCTGACCATAGGAAGTGGCTCTGCCTTTATGGGGCCTACCCGACCATAGGAAATGACTCTACCTACATGGGGCCTGCCTGACCATAGGAAATGACTCTGCTTACATGGGGCCTTCCTGGCCATAGGAAGTGGCTCTGCCTACATGGAGCCTGTCCAACCATAGGAAGTGGCTCTGCCTACATACATAGGGACTGCCTGGCCATGGGAAATGACTACCTACATGGGGCCTGCCTGGCCATGGGAAATGACTCTGCCTACATGGGGCTGCCTGGCCATAGGAAGTGGCTCTGCCTACATAGGGCCTGCCCAGTACTCTGTCATTACTTATATCACTGTCAAATCTTAGTATAGAGATTGTAAACTTGATTTAAGTTCAATCATATCAGCTTATTGTTTTATTTTCATATAGAAATAGGATTTCTACTGTGACTTCATACTTTTTTATATCAAAGGTACTTTTAATTTTCAAAATATATCTAGAGGAATAAGCATTTCACATTTGTTTGTGAATACTCACAGATCTAACTTGTGGACTATGTAGAAGTTTTTTTTTTTAAACCTGCTTGACTATGTTTTAATTTGTTTATACATAATAATTAATTTCAGGTAAAGATGTTTCCCTGTTTATCCTTTACCTTTATATAGATATGAGATTGTCTCCACTCATTTTTCACAGAGAAACGGCCCTATAATTGTGAGATCTGTAATAAGTCTTTCAAGAGACTCGACCAAGTGGGTGCCCACAAAGTGATACACAGTGAAGATAAACCTTATAAATGCAAGCTTTGTGGAAAGGGATTTGCTCACAGAAATGTTTACAGGAACCACAAGAAGGTAAAAGAAAACATTAATTTTTAAATTTACTAATTTGCCGATAGGATTCTAGTTGTTTGTCTTTTAAACAAGTGTTTATGTTTCTTAGTCTTGCTGCATGTAATGGTACAGTAGCTGGAGAAGATCTTGCTTCTAGTTTGTAAACATGTACTTAGCTGCTTTGTGTCTCCTCTGACTTCCATTCTCTGTGGAAATTGTTCTCTCAGCCAAAGTGTCACTGCATGATTAAGTCAATTAAACAGCTCTCAGCTATTAAATCTACCTCAAGGATGCTGGGGTCACATTAATGGTTGTTTTTGCTCTCTTCTTCTTTCCTTGCTCTTTGATACCCCTAATCATGCTGCCTTCTCTTCATCTCTGGGGTCTTCTACTGTATTCTGCCAGATCTGCCAGTTTCAGTTTTTCTGAATGCTTCTTTAGATGTTGTGTTAGCTTCCCACAGCTGTCAGTACCTAAGATTGTCTACTGTTTCTTAAAAAGGTTTCAGTACATGGTTGTCTGGATTTCTTGATTTTGCTCTCCAAGTGAGGCAGAGCCTCATGGTGGGGAGTACATGATAGGGAGAAAATAGCATAGTGGCCAGGAAGCCAAAAAGGGCAGGGGAAGAATCAAGTTCCAAAATACCCATTAAAGGCCATTCCCCTCAGTGACTTGACTTCTTCCGCTAGCCCTCACCTCCTGAATGTTCCATTACCTCCCAATAAGCACTATCATCAAGTACCAAGCTTTCAACACTGAGTCTTTCAAGGGACACCTAAGATCCCAACAATACCAGTCACCACCACTACCTTCGTGAGAATGTCCTAGATGTTTTGGGCCTTTTCTGTGCTTTTTCTCCCTGACCAATGCCCACTGCATCCATAGCTCCATGCCATCAATGCTAGCAAATCCAGGTAATTTATTTTCTTGAAGCATTTGCCAGTGTGTCTGTCATGCCCCAGAGTGACTTTTTTATTCTTTGTCCCAGTTAGCTTCTCTTTTGGAGTGTCTTGTTTCTGTAAATGACAGAAGTATATAGTTATCCAAGTCTTCCTTCAGTCTAGGATTCTTTATAAAATTTGAAGCCAACTTGTAAGTTTTTACTTCTGTGTTGTCTCATTACTTTTGCAACCGTGTCTTTTTACTTTTTGTGAAATTCGACGGATTTAACTAGGGCCTTGCCTCTCTTTGCCATGTGCCCCGCCTGTGCTACCCACCCCCATGCCTTCCTTAACTATTCCAGTGTGCTGACAAATTATCTTTCCTCTTGGTCACATTCATACTCATCTAATTATGTGTCCTGGTACCTAACACTTCTCACTACAATCCATGCCACCAACCAAAAGCATAACCAACCCAAAGCATAATTCTATTCTCTTACTCTATGAGATGTGGATTTCCAACGCTATGTGCTTTACAGTGCAAGCATCTCCTGTCAGAGTTCTCCAGTGACTGTGCCTCCAGCTGACCTCTTAAGTCTCCGCATTAAGCACATCAGAAAGAATTTGATACTTGATTTCTTATATTTTTATTAAAATGCTTTCTCTCTCTCTCTCTCTCCCTGTAAGTGTGATGTGCGTGAGTGCATGTGCATGTGAAGGTGCATGTGTGAGGTCAGAGGACAATTTTAGGGGTTGGTTCTCCTATCATAGGTTCCAGGGATCCAGCTCAACTTGTCAGTCTTGCACAACAAGCACCATTACTTTCTGGGCCCTCTTGCCAGCTGGTACTTGTCTTTATTCTACATGCCCTCTTTAACTCCCTCTTTCTCTTCAGTGTGTAATCTCTTACTTTCTTCTGTGGAGATTTGTTTATGTTTCTTGGACTGTGACTTACCTCTAGTTCTTGTAGAAAATATTAGGTTTAATCTTATCTGCTTTTTCTTTAAAAAATAATGAATGTTCAAATTCAGAAAATATGTCCAAAGCTATTCAACATCATAAAATTTTAAGTAAAAACAACCATGTGGGAAATATCTGCTCATTGATTTTAGTAGATATATTTTGACATATTTTTAAAACAATATTATTTTTTTTTTCACTTATGATTTTTTATAGGGATTGTAGTGACTTAATTATTTATGGAGATTTTTCAGAAACAGCTATCTCTTTTGAAAGCATTACAAACTATGATACCAGTTTTAGCTTCTGTCCAAGAAGAAAAAAGAAAGGTAGATTTACCAAAAATTAAGCAAGGTTGATTGATAGTGTCTCACATTGCTTCAGCCTGAGTTCTTGCTCTGCCCCGTGTTTCAGTCCAGCACTGTGTTCAGGGCAGGATTGCACTCCTTGCTCCTTTGGAATTACATGACTATAAAAAAAGTATCTTGGCAAGTTTCCTGTTCAGTCTCTGGAACCCACTTAATCCTTTCTTTGATGAAACTGATCTACCCACATGTATGAGTTTTTCACAGTTTGGCTTATATTATATGCCATATGGGAGTTTGGCAGAGGCTCTTTGCACCATCTCTCATGCTTTTCAGTCATAAATCATATGAAAGTAATAATGATGTCTTAGGGAGGACCAAAACTATGATGGCTGTAATTTCCAAGTAGAAAGCACGTTCAATCCTTCTGCCACAGACAAATATGTTTCATACTGTGTTATGATCCTAGTTGTATGTTTAGTATGGTTAAGTAAAAATACCTGAAGTATCTTCTAGAATCATATAAAAAGAGAATCAATATTTTGTTCCATTATTATTCATTAGTGGTTAGTTAGGAAACTACAAAAAAAGGATGTGCCAAGAAAAAACAAAACAAAACAAAGTATTACGAGTCAGTCTGATCTTGGTCATGTAGCCTGCCCAAGGGCTCTTTTGAGTAAATAAAATATTCTTTTAGCCTTTTGAGTATACAATCTAGGCATTTAATTCTAATTAATTTGTCCTATTTCAGATCAATTCTTTTCTTTAAATATGTAAATTGGCTTAAAACTCGAATGTTATTATTCACTGATGATAGTGGTGTATAATGACATTTTGGAATAGTTTTATCACCTTACCAGTTCTATAGGCTCAGAAGCTCAAAACTGGTTTTTCTGTTTGCTCATCCTTTCTAACACTCATTTGGTCAGATTTAGAATTGGACTTAAGATCTGACTAAAATAAGCTGGGTCTAATTAGATTTTGATTATTTAAATCATAATTGGTCAGTTATTTCAGAACTACCAGAGACAGAAAATGGTCAATTAATCATCTTCCTCCATTTTTTTTTTCTTTCAAATTTATTGCAAAACAGAATTTGGAGAAGGTGCAAGGTATCTCCCTCCTCTAGGATGGATGTCTAGAGGGACCTAACAGTCTTGTTTTGAAGAGCTGGTATGTTTGCTTGATGACTGAAGTGAGTTCACAGGGGCTTAAAAAGCCCTGCGGAGGTCATTAGGCACTCCCCAGGGACAGGTGTGTGTCTGTTCAAATGAATGTCCTCCTTTTATGGTTCTTTATGTAGTCTTCCAGGGATAGAAGGAACTGTGGAGACATATGGAAATCTAGTCACAGCTTCTCCTGGAAAGATTCTGTTGGGCCCTTACAGTAATGCTTCAGTTGTTGTTAAACTCTGAGCAATGAACAGGTTCTGAGTCTTAAATCCAATTTACAAGGTCATGAACAGACATTACAAGGTAGAACTAAAGGCGTTAAGTTTGAGTCATTTAATGAAATATGCGTTTATGCATGTAATGTATTTATTATATTTATTTACTTGTGTGTGTGTGTGTGTGTGTGTGTGTGTGTGTGTGTGTGTTGGAGTGCATGTACCCTAGCATGCATGTGGAGGTCAGAGAATAACTTGCTGGAGTCTGTTCTTTCCTTCCACCATGTGGGTCCCAGAGATCAAACTCAGGACGTCAGGCTTGGCAGCAAGTGCTTTTGCCTGCTGAACAATCTTGCCCAGTTTAATGGGTTTGAAATAAGAAGTATATCTTTAGTCATGGTCCAATCATTTGAAAGACACTGTAGCTTAAAACTTTGGTGAGACTTTTGGACCCTAAAGAAAAATATAGGGCTGTCTCTAAAAGATTATGAATTAGTTTCTCAAACCAGAATACATGGTTTTAGTTTAACACGAGTGAAAAAATGTATTAGGAAGGTGGTAAGGTAGAAAATAAAAGACAGCCACTGAATAAAAATGTCATGGCTGCTCTTTCTTTGCTTTTCAGTCAAGTAGCATTTCTTCAGGCATGCTCTAGATAGTTGTTGTTCATTTGGTGTTATGTTTTACAGCACTACCTGTCTAGTGCTCTGGGAGGGTGGTGACTGCAGTTTGATGTTCATTGTTATCAGTTGTGAGTGACATTCACTGCTGGGAGGCACACGTAGCATCCGATACCCTCCGCCCAAGGTCCTTACCATAACCTGAGAAAAGAATTCTCCAAACCCACGTTGAGGACTCTTAATGAATTTATTGGACTTGCTAACTGAGCTTGGGGTGTGGGTTTACTTACAGAAGAGTGAGTGCACCCCCATTGACAGCTGTGTTCGAAAGTCCACACCTAAACATAAATCTCATGGTTCCCGACCTCCACACAAAATGGCGAGAGACCAGCCTTGTGGTTTTCCCAGCTTTTATACCCATAGCCCCTCCCCTGGCAAGCAGCTGTGGTCAACTGATTGGCTGGAAGAGGGAAGGAGAGTGACTCCTTTGCACAGGGTGGGAAGGAGGTGATTCCATGGCTCCTCATCACAGGGTCAGAGGAATGTCCAGGTCACATCAGTGCTAGGCAGGATTTCCATTTGATAGTGTCTAGCAGGTGCTGGTCCTTATCCAGAGCTCATTTATCACTGGCAGATCCCTACCCTGTTAAAACTACTATTGTTCTTAAGTTGGTGATGAGATAATAATGTGCATTTTAATTAATATTTTTATTATTGAGGCACATCTGACAAATTTGTGCATGTTTTCAGTGTACCATGTGATCTTTTGTTACATGTACGCATTGTGAAATGATTCTCACAATCAAGGCAATCAATATATCTATTACCTGAAATAATACTCTTTTTCCTGTTAGATGGTTTAGTGAGA